CCTTGATAAGTGTTAATTAATAACTTTCGAACGAGACGATCGCGTGCGTAGGAGATGATCGAGATTCTCGTAGGAAATGATCGCGTTACGAGGAGCGACGCGAAGACACGCGGAACATCCGCCTCGCTCGACTGATCCGCGCCGAATGAACTAATTTTTCATGTTGAAAATCGTTAAACTACATTATATAAAATATTGTCGATGTATTCGGCCAACTAATCTCTCGTCCACAATTGTAATTAAAGAATTGATATATGTATAAAGTAAAATAATATAACGTAAGATTCCAATATGTTTTGTCGAGAATGCTTAAATTTGAAATTATTATTCGATGTAAACGGAGCAATCTCGTATAAAAGGAAATTAGAATAATTATAAAAACTCGTCTTAGCGCAGCCTCTTTCCCAACAGGCTTATTGGTAAAAACTCTAACAGCTGGCCACTTCTCGCCGCGCCCTTGTACTGGGCAGGAGGCTGTATAATTAATAACTCGTTGGTCGATTAATATTATTAATATTATATCAGGGGTGCTTTCGCGACGTAGAGTAAAATGATCCGGATCAAAATGATCCGTGCTATGATTGGTCAAATCTGAAATTTCGTAGCATCTCATTGAAATTTTATTCAATGAAATTTCAGATTTGACCAATCATAGCACGGATCATTTTGATCCGGATCATTTTACTCTACGTCGCGAAAGCACCCCATATTGTATTATAGTAACTGCAGTTTTTATCGACATTTCATGCACACAGCACGGAACACAATCAAAATCTGCACATCTGCGTTATCCGCTTAGTCCAAATGTGGACATTGGTTACGTAGTTCATGTTCACGTTTTCAACGTCCACAGAGGGCGTTCGAGCATTCGATCTGGGGAATTTAATTTGTAAAGCTTGGACACTTCTCGGGTTGATTTGTGCCGCGAATAACTGAAAAAAATTCTGTAGGAAAGATCGTGTTTGGAAGCGTGGAACATAACCTGTACGAAACAAATGACAGTATATAATTTATATATAGCAGCAAGAAGCAAATTTAACAACATGATAGAGTTTCTTTCTCTTACACTCGTGTACAATTTCTTGATGAAGAAGTATCTTTTGAAATTTAACTAGGACTTTATAGTGAATGTTTGAGATATAGGTTACGTTTGACACCCAACTTTTAATATTTTTTTTTTATAGCGCAATAAGTTATTTGTCTTCTCTCTCGAAGATATCGCGATTGCCATCCTACTTGTGCGAGTTCTCTCGTCGGAAAACATTCCTCTCTAAACAATAGTCGCGTTGCCAATCTGTGAAGATGTTGCAGAGAATAAATGGTTTGCTACAAATCACCGTGAGTACTTTTTTTTCGTATAAAGATGTATTCCCAACGGATATAAATTGCCCGAAACTAATTACGATCTCAATCTTGTGAAATTGAACAAATGAAATTAACCTTCTCCTTTTAATAGGCTCATGGGTACAAAGTGAGCAACAGATACTTGAATTTTGTTCCTATTGTGGTGGAACAAAGTGGACGCGGTGAACGTGCATACGACATTTATTCGCGTCTTCTGAAAGAGAGAATTATTTGTCTCATGGGCCCGGTACGATGCGTCGTTTTTTTCTTAAATATACATTAGTTTACAATGGTAAGACAAAGAATTCAATCGTCTTTTTATTCAACAGGTGACAGATGTTGTAGCTTCAGCGGTAATTGCTCAACTTCTCTTTCTTCAGTCGGAAAGCAGTAAAAATCCAATTCATTTATATATCAATTCACCTGGCGGAAGCGTAACGGCAGGACTCGGGATATACGACACTATGCAATACGTTCTTCCCCCAATCTCCACTTGGTGTGTAGGTCAAGCGTGTTCTATGGCAAGTCTACTTTTAGCGGCTGGAACCAAAGGCATGCGTCACTCTTTACCAAATGCTAGAATCATGATACATCAACCATCGGGAGGTGTGCAAGGACAAGCTACGGATATTCAGATACAAGCCACAGAAATCCTTAAGTTGAAGCAACAGATCAACGAGCTGTATGTCAAACATACCGGGCAGAATTTAGAAGATATAGGTATGCCTGCCGTAATGTCTTTTCTAGGCTTTACCGCACGCGAGAAACTTTTCTCTCATGGAAAAATCATGTTTCAGCAAAGAGTATGGAGAGAGATAATTTTATGAGTCCAGCGCAAGCCAAAGAGTTCGGGATTATAGATAAGGTATTGGCCCATCCTATGCAAGAGGAAATTGCAGAAGCAGCAACAGAGAAAACAGACGATGTAACGACGAAACCTTAATACTGCTGGATGGGATAGGTATATAGGTCCCATTTTATTGTTATGTTGTAACAAACGCATTAAAAAGATGTATCATTATTTAATAATAATAAACTATTTATAAAACAATTATAAACTGTATCCTATTCAACTGAAAGTGATGGACTCACTTTCAACTTGGCATATATAAAACATACTGATTTATAACAGCAATATGAATGAGTAATGATGTAAGTCTGTTTCTTCAGAATATAACTTGAGACAAGCGTGATATAGTGACAGAGGCAAGTGTCTAACTTGCAATATGAAAAACCTTTTCACCTAAAGAACCTCTTGGCGTGTAGCGATTTTCTGCTTCTATTTTTAACTTGTGTAACGCAAATTGCTTCAAGATTACAGAGCGTCATTTCTGCAGATGATCAAAATTAACGGTATCGTTTTTTTTTATATATACCTACCCTGTTTGTATAATCGTTATCTTAAAAATGTTTACAGTTTATTATTACTGTGAATATCACACGCGCGCGCGCGCGAACACATTTTTTCCTCAATTCCGAATACATTGCAAAATTACGTCTGCTGATTTCTTATAGAGTTGTACTTTGATGATTAAGTAAGTCTTACTTCGAAATATAGATAATGGAAGACAAAGCCTTGCGTCCCGAAATATATACACATATGAATAAATTTGTGCGATATGTAAAGATGCGAGTGTTCTATATAATGCATAGTATACCTTGATAGCTCTTACTGTGATGACATATAATGCTTAGTGTACTTCTATGTATCTCAAAATATCCCATTTACGATCTATTATCACCAGGAATGCTTTATAAAAAAAAAGCTCTATAAAGAAATACGCTTTATAAAAAGGACGGAATAGTTTTCGTGCCGTAAAATTAGGCCTTAAAAAGAATTAAGTAAAACAATCTTTATACGAGAAACTACTTTGTTTTTTTTTCTTTCTTTCAAAACTCTCATCCCTCGCGAAAGACCAGTCTTGTGCGTTACTTGTCTCGACAACGTTCACACGTTAGAATTCACTGTGGACAGACCTGCGCGTGTGCGAGCATCAGTATATCTTTCTTCTCTTTTGGAAATCTAAGTTCTCGTCCCGCTAATCGCGCAGTTTCGAGTTCACGCTCGGCTAAAGCCAATTCCATTGCCACGATTCCGCCGCCACTCTCGTGTTCTCTAGCAACCCAGTCTAATGCCATTTGGCTACGCATATCGTCGTCTAACGCCCGATGACTGTAATGCGCGACTACTTCCTGCCTGCTGCACTGCCTCTCTCTCATGGCTTTTAAAGAACCATTCCAATGAAGCAATTGAAAGACTGTCATTAGCTCTTGGAACTCCAACATTGTTCTTCCACGATTGCATTCCAACATAAAACGAAACGCACCTATACCCGTGTTTGGATCTTCTTTCTCGTCGCTGCTTCCCTGAAAGCATACGCACATAAACATCTTTACTGTAATCTAAGGCAATAAACAGCTTTTCTGATTTACTTGTGCTTGGCTACCGACTCCGTTTGACGTTGCTGTAGGTTTGGCGAAACTAGCCCTTGCCTCCGCGACAGCCTTTTCAATGAAATCATCAGTAATTTTCCGCGAGGGATGTTCATTGAATACAGAATTCATTAGCGCGATTTTTGCGGCCGATCTGCGCGCTTCCGCTTTTGTGGGGCAGTTTTGAAAGCTTCCGAAACAGGACCCTCCGGGAAGCGTCACGTAGCAAACGTACGGCGGGTTGGCACCAGGGACGGATTCATAAATAACTAATGCGCCATTTCGCAATTCTGTTCCTCTAGCTTGTTTCATCTGCCAAAATTCTTGCAATGCCTCCACGACATTTACTGCGTAAAAGTAAAACAAGTGTGTGTTAGAAGATTAAAAGTGGTCCGAGTAAAAAATTAGACTGGCTGAGAGAAAGATCTCGTCATACATACCTCTGCCGTAACCTTGACTATGTTTCGCAAAGCTATTGACGACTGCGTCCACAGCTTCTCTCAAAACTTGCTTAGCACGGGCGTCCACCAGTCCACCTGTGACCCCCATGTTTTCGGGAACACGTGATTTCGTCTTAACTGGCATCATGCCCTGCATTACTCAGAAACTTGCATTTATTTACTCTGCAAAAACACGACGTCTCTTTAGCTATTACTTCTAGTCACCGAGTTAACAGCAAATAGTAAACGTGAGCTTTCGTAAAATCGCAATCCTTCGGATATCAAAGAGTATTGGGCGTCGCACGCGTATCAAGAGTGTAAAAAAAAGTCAACAAGACAAGTGGAAACTGCGTCCGAATTCGCGATCGACGAAAACGACGGGGGGACTTTTTTTCCTTTCACGTGACAAGCGCGACGAGACTCGCTGTCACCGTTGACACTCGCACTCGCGATTCGGGATCGGGTCGTCGCCGTCGGTCACGGCCGCGCGACGCGACGCGACGGCGTCTCGCTCGCTCACCGAAGAATCGACGAGACGATATCTGCGTGCGCGTCTTCCTGGTGATCGACGAGTATCGGTCGTCGGGTGCTGCGCGACAACGGGAGCAACGGGAGCAACGGGACGAGACAGGACGAGACGAGACGAGACGAGACGAGACGACGCCGACGCCGACGACGGTGGCATCGGGCGCGAGAGCGAATCCAGGAAGTCTGGCCGCACGGAGACCCGGATGCCCAGGAATTCGCGTAAATTACTCTCCGATCGGCGCACCGCACCGAGCGCCGCGGGATCAAATTGCAAGACACATATAACGCGTTTAATGGCCCCGGACCGCTGACGATTTCCAGAAAACCAGGGCCGTACGACTGGCGAGGACGCCCCGTGCCACCGTCCGTCCGCGGCTGCCGCTTTGTCGCCGATGCTTCTTTCCTTTCTTCTTTTTTTTTTCATTTTCTTTGCTAACGGGCCCAGTGCCGCACCGCCCAGCATGACGCCCGTGACTCGCGTCCTCGCTCCAATGGCCGTTCGCCAGAGATCCGACCATCCGAGGAAATACGTGACAATGTGTCGTCCGTCGACGAAACGACGATGTAGCATAATTGACCGAATAAACCATTTCTCATATGTTTGCGACAATTATATCCCTCTCGTTATCAAGCGTAGCATCCAAATCCTTTCTAACGCAAACTGTTGGGAAATGAAATTATTGTCCTTATTGTCTATCGTGGACAAAGGTTATGGAGCCGATAATAGTCTCGGAGAGAGACACGATATGCGCCTCTATGGTGCAGATACGTCGTAGGTTGCGGTCAAGCTGCCGCTACAAATGCTCCCAAGTATTTCTCTTCTCTTTCTATCTTTGCCGAAAGAAAGGAGAAAAAGAGTGCTTGGAAGTATTTGAAGCGACAACTTGACCGCAGCCGTAATCATGGATGTAGGAATAACTGGACGGAGCGTAAGGTACTTTCTTTGGCGAGAGGGATAAAGCCTGAGAAGTGAGGGGAAAATTGATCGGTAGCCATCTTGGCTGGCAATTTAACATGACGAAAAGTCATATCGTTTCTATTCGTTTTTTGTTCCATTTCGCTCCTCTCACCATTAATCGAAAACGTGCCGTGACTTCCAGGCGCGAGGCGCGCGACAATATCGGAGCAACGTGAACAACTTGCGACCTAGGCCGGAATTCATAGTCGGATCTTGTATTCAAGACCGTTTTGAATTTATCTAAAGATACTGTATGGAACATTTCATTGGCTACGGAGTATCTGACTATTGGCCGGTATTCAATACGGCTCTGTGATTGGTTAAAAACATATTAAGAGTATACTTAGGCTGCGTTCGGGGAGACGCTATTTAGCGCTATGAGTGTGCTCTGTCCTTGTTACTTGCAAAAGTTGAACAAGGACAGAGCACGCTCATAGCGCTAAATAGCATCTCCCCGAACGCAGCCTTAAGATGATCTTAAGGTGATGCTGGAGTCTCTCTGTTTTACCAACATTTTTTAATTAGGGATATCTTTTAATTGGCTTTACAGAATTGCAAATTTCTTGTACACGATTAAAGTTCGCACAAAAATAAAAGTCCGTCTGCTCGACTTTATATAAAAAACGAAAAAAAATTAAATATTTTGGCAT